GCGATTTTCATGTTGGGATTTTCATTTCGCATTGCGATTCTCTCGTTGCGATTGTAATTTCCGTGTTGCGATAGTCAAATGCATGCCTAATAGTGATAACAACTGAATAACAAGAGTTGGTTAAGTCAAAATGGTTGGCCTGAGTCATTAATTCAACTGAAAATGTTAAAAGTTCACACATAAAATCCACATAATACAACGTTTGCATTTAAAAATCACCTAAGTTAACAGTCCCAAAAGGTGAAGCCAATTGTGATTTTGATGAGGATCCATATTTTGGTAGAGGAAAAGATGATTTTGATGGCACTGGTGATCCACATGTCAACCTTGTATGACCACTTTCCTTGCACCGACTACATGTCGATCTCTTCTTCTCTTCACCCTTAGACGGTATACGATCGTGACTTTTTGGTCGGCCAGGTAGCCTTCTGTCCATGGCTGGTGGCAAAACTGTTTGTAAGTCATCTGGTATGTCCCACTCAGAAGGATGTGGAATAGGGTAGACAATCTCGGCATAAGTCTGTCGATAAACTTCTGTAGTGTAGCAATCCATAGCGTATGCGCTTGAATCATCTTGGTTTAAATGAAGAGCAACTTTTATAACATGGCCACACGGATAACCAGATGTTTGCCATTTCATACAACTACACGTCTTTGCATTTAGATCGACTAGCCCATTTAAGTTATTATCCAGTACTTGAAACAAAGTGTTTGAACATGGTTCAACTCTCCATGACGTTGACTTCACAACACGTTTCGTTATCTTTTTTTCAGTCCATGGTGTAACACGATGTTCCAATGTTCCTGTAAATTTAAATAAACAATACTTAGTAAAATATATAAATATGATAAGTTACGAATTCAAAGAAATAATACCTGCATGGTTTCTTTTCTTGTAGTACCACTGTTGAATAGAGGCTCGAAAAAACTCCATTAACATAGTAATGGGTAATTTCCGGGAATGACGACTTAGAGCGTTGATTGATTCTGCACTATTAGACGTCATGAAACCATATCTTGCTCCAAGTTGATGTACTCTTGACCATCTTTCAAACCCGACATCTTCTAGTGTTTGAGCACACTGAGGCAAAACACGTCTTAAACAATTTATATGCTTATTGAAATCCACTTCCCGATAAGCTTTTACAGCCTTCCAGTATGTCCATTTGTGCTTTTTTATACCAGCAGACCTTGATTTTAGATTTCTATACAAATGAACACCACAAAGTCCATGAAAAGCATCTGGGAAACACCTTCTAACAGCGTTGTCAATTGAGTTTGCCCTATCGGATATGATTGTCAGATTGCTAATAGGACCTATGCAATCCCTAAGATGCCCCATAAACCATGTCCATGAATCAGAGGTTTCAGATTTGCCAACCCCGTAAGCTATTGGCAATATCCCATTGTTAGCATCCATGGCTACTGCTAATAAGTTTACTCCAAGGTATCGACCTTTCAAATGTGCTCCGTCAACTATAATAACTGGGCGCATGCAAGTAATAAACGAACGAATCTACAAAATAATATACACAAGAAATATAATCATTTAAATGTGAAATGCATGTAACTAACAAAAATGAGTCAACAAAATTATATTGATTTACTAACCGTAGCACCAATGGCGATAAACAGCAACTCAAAGCGTCCATCTCTATCTGTTTTGATATGAGTTACCGACCCAGGATTTTTCAGCTTTAAATTGTGACAATAAGCCGGCAGTTGGGCAAACGATGCTTCTGGCGACCCCCTCAACAATTCCAAGGCATAACATTTGGCTCTCCAAGCTTGAGAATATGATATACTAATCTTGAACCGAGCATTCATGTCAGTCATAATTTCATGTCCCCGATATACCCTGCCATTCAAAAACATTAACTCAGCCAGAAAACCACCCAACACCTTTTTGTTTGCCTGTCTATGGTGAGGAAAAACTTGGGTTCTTGAACATGTATGTTTATCAATAAAAGTCCTAACTTGAAACATTTCGCAATCTTTTATTCTCTTTGCAATCATTCGCCACATACAGTTTTTGTCAATCATACACCTTGTTTCGAAACGATCTTTGCTTGATTTGTTAACTTTTAGTTGATAGCCATCTTCCACACATTTCGTATACAAAGCTATCTTCAAGTCTTCCTTTGTATCAAAACAATCATCTTTCTTGATACGAATAACTTTTGTGTAACAATCAACTGCTTTCTTTACCAACTCTTCTTCCGGTATCTGAAGTAATTCTGGCATATTCCAGTTATACGCCCGTGGCATTTTCTTTTCTTCGGGGATTTTTTCTTCTTCTTTTTCTTCTTCAGGATTATATGAATTACAGAATGGATGTTCAACATGTTCATTCACAGTCGTAACTTCCTCCTCATTATCATCAACAATACATTCTTCGGCAACGGCTGTTTCATCATCAAAATTCGGGTATTGACCAATATCAAAATCATTACACGCAGGGTCTGTTTCTTCTTTTGAAACATCATCAAAATCTGTGTATTGACCAATATCAAAGTCCGGATATTGACCAAGACCAAATTTCGAATACTGACTAGTACTCACAATTTTTTCTGTTGGCTCATCATCGTCTAACTGGTCAATACGAAAACCGGAATTTGGTGCTGAAAGTTGATTGGGATTTGGATTAGAGAAAGGTTATGGGTTTTGAGAAAAACTTAGTTGATTACTACCCGCTACTGACCCAACAATACTACTTCTAGGTTCAACAACATACAATGTAACATCATCTTGTGAAACACTAATGTAAGCAATGAATCGTTCAACATCTTCATTGTCGGTTAACAAATAAACTTTACCATTTCTCTGATAAGATAGCCTAAATCCACTTAGGGGCTCTAAATTCAATTTATTTGAAACACGTAGCATTAGAGTTTCATAAGTTAACTTTTGTAAAGACAATTTTAGTTGAAGATTCATGGGTAAAGGCATATATTGTAAAACACCATGAACATTATCCCATGACCCTCCAAAACACAAATCTATCCAAACATGATCAACATTAGATGATTTCATGGTTGTAAATTAATTTACTAAACAGACGAGCTGCGAAACTAAAACCTGTTGCCGGATTGGGAAGGATGTCGTTGGATATAGGAACGGATGTCGCCGGAGAGAGTGATAGATTGAGATGGAATGAGTTGCGATTTAGGGATTTAGTTTATGATTTCAGTGTTATATACCCAAAATTTCAGTGTTGTGATTTACAGATTCTCGTTGCGATTTACGGATTATCGTTGCGATTTACAGATTCTCGTTGCGATTTACGGATTATCGTTGCGATTTACAGATTCTCGTTGCGATTTACGGATTATCGTTGCGATTTACAGATTCTCGTTGCGATTTACGGATTATCGTTGCGATTTACAGATTCTCGTTGCGATTTACGGATTATCGTTGCGATTTACGGATACGCGTTGCGATATACGGATACGCATTGCGATTTACGGATACGCGTTGCGATATACGGATACACGTTGCGATTTACGGATACGCGTTGCGATTTATGTGTTCGCGTTGCGATTTTCATATTCGCGTTGCGATTTTGGAAAATCGCAATGCGAATTTGTACTATCGCATTGCGATTTTCAAGAATCGCGTTGCGATTTTGGAAACTGATTTGCGATTCTGGGGATCGCGTTGCGATTTTTATTTCGCGTTGCGATTTTGTTGGTCATTTTGGCAAATCCAAAAAAAATTGGTTAAAATCGTATATTATAACTTTTTTTGGGTCACTGAGGCGATTTTCTCTTATTTTTTTTGAAATAAAAAATAATAATCTTCTCAACAAGACATAATCTATCCATTTATGATTTTTCAATCCACGTGGTCCAATAAAAAAACGACCTCCCACCTCAACTTCGATCTTATAACGGTACTGATAGATCGGATAGACTGTTGAAATAAGAAATTTTAAATTCTCGAATAATTTATATATATTTTATATTTTTATGATAATATAATTTTATTCTTAATATTTTATAAATTTATCCTAAAAATCATATAAATTCTTTTTATAACATAAAATTGTGTTTCTATTCTTATCCATCTATGTAATAATAATCAAATGCAGCTCTAGAAATGAAGAAAAACAGTTGATTTATCCATAATTAAAATAAGGGTGCGTTTGGTTCACAGAATATAAGATTACCAGTGAGAATAGGATTACTGGAATGTAACATTACCTAACACATTACTGGGAATGTTACATTACTGTGTTTGGTTTATTTGGCAGTAATGTAAGATTACAGTGTTTGATTGAAGGAATAAAAGATTACTGACATGTGGATTTTACCAAATTGACCTTGTTCTATATTTTGTTCTAATTATTAAATAAAAATTATTTATATAAAAATTATTTATATAAAAATCCATCTATAATATATTTAAATAAAAATTATTTATATAAAATTCATCGATAATATATTATTTTATTATTTAAATATATCATGTATTATTTTAATTTTAATTAATATTAAATTTTACATAATTTATCTAAAAATATATTAAAATTTTACTTCAACATTTAATTAAATGTTCAATATTAGGGATTTTTAACATTTAATTAAATTTTACACAATTTATCTAAAATATAATACGTAAATTTATAAAAAGTAATTAACATATTCGAAAACTACCACATTACTTGCAAGGCATATACTACATAACAAAAAGAAGTATAACATTAACCATCAAAAGTTTGTACAATGTTCAAACTTACAAAAGATAATAGCCATAACATTCTAAACTTAATCATATATATTGGCTATATTATATACACAAAAAATTATCCAAGTCAAAAGATTGACTTAGTTTCAAGTTAAAGGATACAAGAAATATAACCTCATGGTGTAAACAGAAACCTAAAACATCATTTGTTTACTTTTTTTTTTTATAATAATCATTTGTTTACTCTTAAAACAGCTTTACTGGGGGATGGCGGCATCATTTGCCATAAAATAGCTTAGCAGCAATAAAAAATATGGTTGCCACCGCTGCAGCCATAGACGACCGTCCTAGCTGTTTCCGTTACCCAAGAGGAAATGGGATCGGAGTTCAGTTGCCGCCAAGGAACAAAGGGATTCCTCTTGAGGTGACTTTCGATCAAATATCTACATATTCCTATTCGTAAATACAGGAAGACTAAACATACTGAACTTAATTCGAAATGCATATAATGTCCTTACAGATCGGCAAAGGAAGGGTACTGATTGAAGGGGACAGAGTGGCACTATTAGGCTATGGAACTGCAGTTCAAAGCTGCTTAGCAGCTGCCTCGTTATTGGAATCCCACGGCTTAAAGCCAACTGTCGCGGACGCACGATTTTGTAAACCATTGGATCACTCCCTAATCCGGGGACTGGCAAAATCGCATGCAGTTCTGATCACAGTCGAAGAAGGGTCGATCGGGGGCTTTGGTTCTCATGTGGCACAGTTCCTAGCTCTTGATGGTCTTCTTGATGGCAAAGTAAAGGTATGCAAATCAAATATCAGGAATCCGAATGTTCATAATTAGAAGTTTATATAGCCGTTTAATATCTCGTTTCTTTGCAGTGGAGACCGGTGGTTCTTCCAGATCAATACATCGACCATGGCTCGCTGGCCGACCAGTTGGCCGAAGCTGGTCTGACCCCATCGCACATCGCTGCAACGGTGTTCAATGTGGTTGGACAAAAAAGAGAGGCTCTTGAGATCATGTCCTCAAGAAACTGAAGAAATTCTTCAGCTTAAATTTCATTTTATGTACAGAAATTTCCCTTTCCCTTGGCATTTCATTTCAGATGAATGATAGCTGGTTTATATATAGCAATGATACAGCTTTACCATAAATATTTAGTGTGTTAGCAACCAACTGTACATAAAATCAAGACCAAATTGATATAATATGTAGACATTAAACACTAAATTTATTATTATTTCAATCAAAATCATGAAAAACATTTAATTGTGATTAGTTATTCATATTTAATTATTATTATTATTAAAATAAAGTCATAAAATAATTGTTTAAATTTAAACTTAATTATTTTTTAATATATTATCTGTAAAAAACAATTCTAGAAATACTGTTAAAGTAATATCAAATGCTTTATTTTTTTAATATTTAGATTTATTTTAATAGTTTAGAGGGTTTACAAAGTAATATTTGTTTATAATTTTTTTTAGTTATTGACGACACGCATATTATGTAGAGACAACTACTTGATCTCAGAACCTCTAGAGAAAATCAGTGACGGATCCAAAAATAATTTTGCGGGTAAACACACACATGTTAATAATACAATTTTAGAACAGGATGGACACAAATAAAATCAGAGTGGATACTATTAGTAAAATAAACAACTAATCAAAGAACATTGAATTTCAACGTTGGCAAGTGCCCACTCTTAAATACACGTGGATCCACCTCTAAAGAAAACAACACTTTCTTTTTATCACTGAGATCGTTTAATAAGCTCAATTTTTAAATTTTAAATAATTAGACACATGACATCATTTATAAATCTTTTAGATGATATATTGAAAGTTAATCCATAAAATTAGAGTTAACTATATAATATTTTCAAATTATGATTTTTATTTTATATTTTTCCTTAAATTTTAAAATATTTTACATCAGTCTTTAAACAATGACTTTTAATTTAAATTAGTCATTAATATTTAAAATATTTTATATTAGTCCTCAAACTATCAAGAATATTCCATTTTAATCATTCTATTAACATGTTAACTCTACTGATTTTTATGGTCATAATAATTGAACTTGTAATCTTCTAAAAAATTTAATCTATTTTTGAAAGCCATGCGAGAAAATAGAGTTAACGACGTAATAACAAAATGATCAAAGTATGCGATCATCTCTTAAAATTAGCGTTAATGTATGTTTTGGTTCTATGACTTTGGTTTTAAGTACAATTTGGCCCACTAGAATTTGGCTCTATCGGGTTAGCCCAAAACTCCTAACCTAGAATTTTGGGCTTTACAAAGAACTTGGAAACTGTCTAGGGTGTAAGATGGGATTTTTTCCAATTACGTATTTGGGGATCCCACTAGGTGCTGATCCGAGAAGAGTTAGGACTTGGGAACCGATTGTGGAAGGTGTTCGAGCAAAGTTAGATGGCTGGAAGCCTGGAAGAGCAAGACTTTGTCTTTTGCAGGAAGAGTGGCTCTGATTAATTCAGTTTTTATCCTCACTGCCATTATTTTACATGTCCATTTTTGAGTTTCCTAAATCTGTCATACAAAAGATTGATAGACTAAGGTGTAACTTCTTATTGAATAACACTAGCGACAATAGGAAGATAGTTCGTGTCAATTGGAAGGAGGTTTGCCTGTCGAAATCTAAGGGAGGAGCGGGGGTTATTAATCTTCAAGCAAAGAATATGGCCTTATTAGCCAAATGGGAATGGAGGTTCGCTCTGGAAGAAAAGACACTTTGGAGGAGAGTCATCCTCAATAAGTACGGCAAGTCGAATAGGCGTTGGGTTTTGAAGACTTCAAAGGTAAAGAGAATGCCCATTTTTTGGAGATGTATTGTCAATAATTGATGTAAAGAGGATATAAATAAATGGATGGGAGTTAACGAGTTTAGATGGAAGGTGGGGGACGGGAAAATGATGTTGTATTAGGAAGATTCTTGGTGCTGTAATGAACCTCTAAGGAGCAAATTCTAGAGCCATTTTTATCATTGGTGGAATATTCCATGGTCAAGTCCTAGAGATATAGATGGTTTGTTTAGTTTTTGTTTTGGATCGGGCTTGCTTGGGAGCATTAGGAGTGTGTGGCTAATTTCCTTCTCAATTGTCTTGTGGTGTGTTTATTTGGCAAGGAGCACCTTCATCTTTAAAAGAAAAGTGTGCAAAATGGATGAATTATTTTTTAGCACAAAACTGCGTTCCCTAACTTGGTTAAAGGTGTCAAAGGAGGATTTGGATGTTAATTTGGACAGTTGATGGAGCTGCCCGAAGAGCTCCCTGTCTTGTAACCCCCCTAGGTGCTTCACTGGATTGGACAAGGAAGACTCACTAGAAGGTATGGTGAAATTTATTGTGGCAGGAGTGATGAAAGAGGGAATTTTAGGCTGTGGAGGAGTCCTTTGCCAGCCAGATGGGTGCTTTCTGCCAAGTTTTCTGGACTTGTGAAAGGTTTTGGGGTCGATTTTGCTTTAATAACAGCAATTAAGATTTCCCTGGAGTAAATCAAGAGGCAAAAGGGGTGGCTGCTGGTGAATTAGTGGTGGAGATTAAATCGAAGCTGGTTTTGGATATAGTTGTAGTGCCTCTCTATCACTCGAGAGATTGGTGGCAATTACTTCTGGAAATTGATAGCCTAAGAGGTAGTTTTTGGAAAGTTCATTTTTGCCTTGCCAAGCAAAGAATTTTTTGTTTGCCCCAGTAGTTAGCACTAGATGGTGTGCGAAGAGAGGCTTTGTTTAAAGTTTGATGGTAACTCTATGACACTTACTGTTTTTGTCTCTACGGTTCTTTGAAAGTTTGTTTTATTTTGGGGCCCCGTATTCTTGCTTGATTAAGAAGGTTCTGTTTTGACAGATTTCCCTTCTTCTTGTGATCTTGATTTTTTATAGGAGTGATAACAAGGCCAGGTTTGTTTTCTGCTGGTAACAAAACTTAAGGAAGGACTGGCTGGTTTAGTTTTCATGTCTTGTTTTTCGTATACAAAGGAGCATTGAGATCAATGTCATTTACTAATCCAGGACAGCTGCTTTTGCAGGCTTGACAGGTCTAAACAGGTGTAAATCCTTTCAAGTCGAGCGATCTACATAGCCATCTTGTTGGGTGACACTGTCGCTTTTTGTGATCTCATTTGGCACCTTGTTGGTTCTTTTTAGTCGGTCTCTCTTGGGGTGGTAAGCCATTGCTTGGCCTTAGTTCGATGGTAAGGTTCTGTTAAGCATTGCAATTGGGTCTGTATGTTTAATTGAGCTAGGGTGGGGTTTTGGATTCTGCGTTTTTGTTGCTCTTGTCGTGAAACCTTGGAGGTGCTGTATTCTCACCTAGCTAGAGTACTCTTTTCCCCCATTTAGGTTTTAGGGAGTTTTTTAACGAGGCTCCTACCTATGATTTTTCTAATTAATGAATTTTGCCGAGCAAAAAAAATGCTATTTAAATTCTTCTGTTAAATTTAAATCTGACACAATATCATTTTCTTATTGCATGACTTCTAAGGTAATTTTTAAAAGTTATACCAATAAATTTAACATAAGAAATTTAATAATATTAATAATTGCATTTGAATTTTTATATCCGAAAAATAAAGACTAAATTCACAAAAATAAAAATAGGACTAAATCCAAATGTATAAAAAGTACAAAGACTTGTAACAAAATTTAACCTTTCAAATATTACACAATATGAATAGAATAAGAATTTTATAGTATGTAAGAACATTTCTTTAACACTAATCAATACAATCATTCGATCAAAATCAAGCAATTAAGTATATACATTACACGGATTAAACATCAAATTTCTTTGAATTTTCTTATCTTCTTCTCCAAGAAAGTCGCAGCAGGAAAGAAAATTTTCAATTCATGGGGTATCCAACTGCCATGCAAGTCTCCCAAAACAGCCTATCTTCCATACCATCCATCACTTCTCTGCATATATTATATGATCCGATGCCTTCATCTATAGAACCCACGTTGCCACTGCTCCAATGGCCAAAATATATGGAGTCTTGGTGATCATCATCATCATCATGTTGATGAACTGCATAAACATCATCCAATGATCTCTCAGCCCTAATTGTGTCGTTACAGCTACACGACTCCGCATCGTCTTCGTCAGTAACGCCGGCAACTTCCGCCATTGATGATCCATGATCGAGCTCCGAGTCACCGCTATCTTCGACTAGGAAGAAGCTTGAAACATCGAATAAGCCGTCGTTGTTTTCCATGGAAATTTAAAGTTTGGTCACTGTTCTATTCACTATCCACAGTTTTACACACTTTTTTTTTCTTTTTGGGTAAGTTATGATCTTTCTGTCTAGGGTTTATTCATATTTATATCAATTTTTTGTGTGTGGGTGTGTGAATGAATATTTTGTTTTCAAAGTTACATGTTGATGAGCACTGACCACAACCATTAGCTTTTACCTTCTTTTTTTTGTTAAAAGGGTGTTAGGTCTCTGGTTTGAAAATCCATTTTTATTGGGTGGGTCTCATGTCATCCATCCAATTATCTTTCGTTTTCTTTCATTCAAGTCACGGTCTTTGAAAATCAGGTCTTTGGTGCCCCTATAGAAGACATGTGATATTGGGTGGGTCTATCCATGCTCCTTTTTCTTTCTTCATATTTGTAAGTCATAAAATGCAATTATTAAAGCCAAAGGTTTGTATGACTATACCCATTATTTTGATTACATCACCAATCGGAATCACATTGTCACATGCTATGAACCTAGGCTCCTTGCTGACGTAATGATTATGGGATTTTGTTTGGTAAGAGATAATCTGCTTTACATGTGAAGATTGTCTTTATACTAATTTATCATCTTTTAGATGCCAAAATAATACTTTTACCTTCATACTAATTTAAATTACGTATAATACTAAAACTAAACTTAATTTTTATGTAAGTGATCACTTTAATTCTTGCTCCTCTTTAAGTTTATTTTAATTTCAATGTTTTAAATTTTGATTGAAATGATTTATGTTAGATGAAAATTATTAGTTTATGTAGTATATTTATATATATTTAATTTTTTACACGTCACATCATCAACATGACACATGTCATATCATCACCTTGAGTGACACGGTATGTAATACGTTAATAATTAAGCACATGTAAAATTATAACACCAATAACATACTTTGACTGTTAATTAACTAATGATTTTCATTCAACAAGAATTATTTTATTAAAAAAAATTAAAACGTTGAGACATAAAATATTTTAAAAAATAGATATTAAAATTGTCATTCAAACAAATATTGAAGGCTAATTTTGATATAATACCTTTGAATTATATGTATGATCGTTTAGGGGTCAAGGTCCTACCAACCCTTAGATCGTTTCTTTGAAGAATCCTTTTTCGACTTATATTATCCATATCTTACGCTCACTCCTAACCTTAATTGCCTAAACCCTTTAATCTAGAAGAAAGTATAGTTTCAAAAGCCATAGCAGGAAGAGGTTGATATGATGGCTTAATTTCCATCACCATCTCTCCTAATTTAGCCTAGGACTGTTTAAGGCACTAGGGGGTTACCTACTCACCTACCGTTAAGTAATATATATAGTTGAATAGTAACTGTGAATAAACTTTGATATTTTAACTTCTCATCAAGAAACAGCAAAGAGCTTTTAACCACTGTCCCAAAATGCCCAAACCGCTTGGGAGTTTAGGCACTTTGTGGGGGAATTTTGAAACTCCAAGTTGGTCAGGTCGGCCTTTGCTTTTGCTGACGGAAGAGGTGAGAGAAACGTGTAATTGGGCTGGAAAAAATACAATTGGTTCGACCCACACACATCATGTTCTGAGACTTAAATGATGCTTTTGTTTTCGATGTTAGGAGCACTCATTTATTTTCATGGCAAAGATTACCACTAACTTAGCTTTTGATTTTCGAGATAAATTAATTATTTATCGTCCAATTATCTTTTTATTCTTATTTTAATTATTTTAATTTAAATTATTTTAATTTATTATTTTAATTATTTTTATTTTAATCATTCTAGATTGACCTGTATTTTTTATTAATATATTTTTATAACATGACATATTTTATTAATCTTTTTTTATGTAAGATAAAAAAAAGAATCTTTACATATTAATTCAAATATTTAATCTACAAATCATAACTCCTAATATATAAATTCCAAACTCTCATCTCCATACCCATCGTCTGCACCCCAAACCTTCACCTTCACCCTCATTAGCTACACTCTTACCATTTTGACACTCACCTCGTTGCATCATCATGAGACTTATGAGATATGATTTAGTGTTCAAGAATTATATGGTTTAATTTAAAGTTAAATGATTTTAAGGGCTAAAGTAAGACAACTGCGTAAAAGGTGTAGATTTAAGACGACAAGGGTGTTACAGTGTATTATGAAGATTAAGGCAAGCTAATGGTGTTGTAGAACAGATGTGCGATTCATGTCGTGGTCGTCCCCTATATAAGGCCACAACCAGGTAGATATGTCAAGACCAACCATGTAGAGGGCCTATTGGTAAGGTAGAATAGTTTGTCATCATTTCAAGCATTTCATTGTTTTAGTTAAGTAACTTGGGTAAGGTATATTGTCCCCAATTCGAGCATTTCAACGTCTACTCATGGCATTTCTGTTATCACCTCCACATATATGAAGGGGTGGACAGTCTACAGAGCTTGGATTGATCCATTATTGAAGGTACATGTGTAGACATATCATCTAGGGTTGCCCCTACAGACTAGTTGATGGTGTGGGGTGAGTGTGGATAATATAACACAAAACTTTTACTAATAAAATATTTTTCTTTTTACTTACAAGAAAGTCAGGGTCGGGTGTGTACATTCATTATGTCCAACAAACTTGATTATGAACACGGGGAAACTATATGATAACTAAATAATTGACGCCCAAATGGTTACTTATTGGATAAGTCATCGAGGATTAAGGCTGACTTGACTTGGGAAAAGTCTTATTTCAAATACTGCACAAACTAAAACTCTAGTTAAAAGAGAGAGTCTGTGATACTTAGTATCAGAGCAACGCAGTTAGATATGACAGACAAATTTTGGTTCTTTGTTCTTTTGGGATGTAGGACAAGCGCTTCAACATAGGGAGTAGGTAGGGTAAACAACATTTATGTCGAGCGCTTTTAAGAGAGTAGGTAAGATGACATGATCTTACATCGAGTGCTCTCGCGTGTAGAGTAGGTAAGGTGTCCCCTATTACATGCACTTTTGGGGATGTAGGCCAAGCGCTGCAACGTGGGGAGTAAGCATGGTAGATAATGTTCTTGCCGAGTGCTTTCAAGAAAAGAGTAAGTAGGATGACCTTATCCAGTAAAAATGAGGCATTCCTACGTTTTTTGCTTATTCACCAAGGCCTTGGTGTTTATACATTTGAAGCATAAAATTAGAATGAGATTTATGAAGAAAAAGTTGAGCATAATAATACATAGTGCCAAATTTATGAACAATTTAAAGAAAACACGCACACTAGACATTCAATACAGTATACAGCTAAACTGATCCTATGATAAATACAGATCACTTGGGGTTCTTCTAAATACTATATATCTATCTAACAAAGAAGATCCGGTAGCCAAGAAAATTTTAAAAAGAAACCATCATTTATGCTTCGTTACAGGGAGGAATTTATCATCCTTCCTTAGCCATATCGTGGATCGTGTTCTTCTAACATGATCTGCAAAGAGACGATGCCTGCCAGTAGAAATACAGCTATGTTAGGAAAGAAATAAATGAAAACCATTCATCATCTCAGCCAATTCAGAACAATGGAAGAAAAAAATTCCGTAGCAGAAAGAATCATTCCATGAATCATTTACACAATTCTGAGTCATTTGAGGTTGCATGATGAAGCAAAAGGAGTCATATTTCATGATTATATTTTAGCACCAACCTCTCATATTCAAGTTTCTGAGTAACTATTCCATTTAGTAGTAACTCGGAACTGTAAACTGCTGCCCCTGAAAGCATAAAGATCCCAAAAAGTTCTAATAAAAGTTGTATATCGCAAAACATGTAGGAGCTGATTAAGAAAAGTTTTTAACCTTTTTCAAGAAACGGCACACAGATTGCATAATCTTCTTCACATGATAGAACTAACAAATCATCTGGGACTTTGTCATCCTTCATAGCAGACCTACCAATTCTCTCTATGGCCTGGAAAACATGTCATCCGGAATCAAGATACAAAGTCAGCATTTTAATAGGAACGAAGTCATCTAAAAGTATTTAGTAAAAGCACAAAGGTTAAAATTGATCAATCTTTTTCGTATGCCACTAGATGAAATTGCCTTGGAAACTGCCACATACCTGACCATGAACCGCTGTAACCAAATGCATAATTGTTTCTTTATTCGGCTTCGTATTTGGGGTAATTAGAACTCTTCGACCCTGCATAACTTTCATTATAGTAAAGATCTTGATGGAATATGTGACCAATGCAACAGGTAAGCACAAAATCTTTTTACCTGTAATAAGGGTCGCTTGCATGCACGTGCTAAAGAAGCTGGCATGCAGAAGCCAAACTCTTTCTCCTTTTTAATGTCCCTCAATACATAAGCTTCTTCATCGATGTGAATATTAACTTGTCCAATGCTTTCAAGCCATAAATGTGTGACAACAGGTTTCCCTGAAGCAATTGCTTCCAACATATTCCTAGTGCGCACGAATTTATCGGTTATAAAGTGTGTCGCGGTTAAGATAGATGATGCTTCAGAGATGCCTAGGCGGGTCAGGATCTGGTGAAAAATTGAGGCATAATATTTAGTTAGAAGGGCTTTTATATCATTAAAGAGCTAATGACATCAGAACTTACTAGTACCTTTTTTTGTTGTTTAACTATATCTTCATCTAGGTGATTGCTGAACAAGACTCTAACATTAGTCAAATCCCTTCTCTTCCTCGTATCTTTCAAAGGAGAAATGGATTCTGGCTCGATGGGGTTTAAACTTTGGAGTTCTTTGATGAGTGAAGCTTTTGAAAGTTTCTTCTTGCAGGATTGCTTAAAATATTCATCACCCATACAAACAGGTGACGCAGCATTGACGGGTGTCAGGCAGTTAACTGGTGTGGTGCATACAGGTCCAAGTGATCTTGATTTCTCTTCCGGGGATTTATCAGAAGCAACATTCACAGTTGAACTTTCTGCAATTGGTGAAGAAACTGCAACACAGTTTCCACTGGAGTGCTGTTCCTTTGCTGCTTCAGGTCCAATTATGCTGGTAGATTTCATCCTCCTATTCATCTCAGTAGAATTGCAATTAACTGCATCATCTCTCGAACCTTGTTTATCTGAACTTTGATGTGACAGTTTTCCTACTGAATTCTGGTCTGAAAAATATGGAACAGTACATGCATTCCTGGATGATCGTGTTATCCTCGTAGTCGTTGAAGGAATGCAAGTGTTCCTATTGTTTCTTCTGGACCTTTTTACCACAGGAATCTGTTGTCCATTATCATCTGGCTGAACATATTTTTTGGACTGTGTTTCCAAGTCATCAGATTCACCAACATGAACCGACATTTTGCAGGAAGATCTTCTATGTTTGGGATAGTTCAATCCCTGATTGCTGTTATTCCCGGCAATCAACTCCAATTGCAATTGGTCATTACTACATGATTTGGCATTTACATGATCCCCAGATTGGTAGGAACGCAAACTAGAAAGTTTCACTTTAGCATTTGACACTAATGATAACTCAGCTGTAACATCTGTACTCCTGGTTTTATTTTCTTGAAGGAAAACCTCTTTTTCAAGTTTTTACCTTTTCTACAATCACTAGCTGGAGACTTGGCCATTTGTGTATTCATGACCGAGGACTGCCTCGTTCGACGAGCAATGGGTGTAACAGTATGAACCTTGTTAGCATGACGTTTCTTCATTGAGCTGCCCCTAGTTGATCTTCCGGTGCCATGAAGTTGAATCTTTGCCAAAGCTCCAACTGCCTTTCTTTGCTTTATATTCTTAGAGGGCTTCTTGGCTGTATCAATACCACCAGAAACTTGGTTCTCGTCAGTATTTGATTTAGGTCTCTTTGTTTTAGGTAGAAGCAGCTCTGCATCACACTCCTTCCTAACATTTTCAGAACATTTATTCTTCAAAATTGAAGACTCTTGAGTTCTCTTGGACTGCCTTGTAACAGGAGCAGCATCGTAACAAGAAACACCCTTTTTCACCATGGGTTCTCTAGAAGCAATTCTTTTCCTGGATTTTCCACTAAACAAACCTTTTGAGGAACCCTTTGATATATTTTGGAAATCTTGATTACCATTCTGCTCAGTTGCCGCCTCCCCATAGAATAAGGCTTCCATAGCTTCAGCAGCCATCTGAGTGTCAAAACCGACATCAAGTTCTTCAGCAGCAGCAATTTCCAATTGCCCCTTTGAGGAATTTGAGTTACAATGTTCATCAAACTCATTCAAAAGATTCTTTCTTAAATCCAATTTACCTTCTCGTGCTGGCTTGTCATTACCTAGTGATTTGCACAACAATGATTTTGAATCAGAATCAGTTATTCTTGTATCATGGGCATTTGGTCGGTCTTCATTACAAGATTCATTAAGTTTCCTTCCTTTACGATTACGGGGATGTTTAGAAGTCTTCCTTGCACGACTTGCACTACCAAAGAAATCTTCCTTTCTTTTACAATAAATATCACCCCCTCCTTCATCCTCCAAAGCATCGTCCCAATCAAAAATTCGTGTTTTTTCAGTAGTGCTTCTTTCAATTGTTTTCTTAGCCAAATTTTGTGGCCCTATTATTGCACATGAAATAAGTTCTGATTTTCCACCAGTACTCTTCCCGAGATCATCTTCAACATCAAGCTCCACCGTATTATCATTTACAAGCTTTTCCACAAAATTCAGTGCGTTAGCCTGAGATAACTCCCCAGGTTCTTGCGAGTCGATATAGCTTAAGCCTGCTAAAGAACCGTCATGTGCAGGAAACATAAGCACATCTTCTCTAGCATCTGCATTTTCACTGCTGCAAGGACTTGCGGCAAAAAGTTTTCTCACAGTTGAACAACCAACCCTGGAATTGGTTACATGCCTTAAACCAATTGAGGTCTCGCCATTATTACTCTGACAATGTTCCTGATTTATCTGCTCCACAACATTTGAGGTTAAACCATTCATGTTGACCGTACACTGGTCTGAAAACTGACTATCAGTCCGGATAAAAGAAGACTCAACATTCATTCCCCATAGTGCTGCATTTCGAGCTGCAAGACCAGACGCACGCAAGGATGCTGCACGAACTGAGGTAAACCTTCGTAAAGATCCTATAAAAAATAATGAATGTTAGTACAGCAACGGAAAGACAGTGTATACGCCAAATTGAACATACATCATTCCCACCATCTTTTAATGTTTGAAGAGGACTATGCTTCCAAACTCCAATTACTTACACAAGTGAATTGCTTTAAGAAAAATGCTTTTGAAAGCTGTTACTAATCAAAACTAGTAGTTCATCATTGCAATCATTCAAGATTAAAGCAGAAACAATGTCCAAATGTTGACGAGATACAGTAAATATCTCATTAATTTCCTCAATTTACTCCACTCATTTTCCGGAAACAAATATGTACAGGTTCATGAAGGAAGCTTAATCTTGCACATAAATTTTATCTAAACATATGCCGCATGAGCACAAGGATAACCAAAAACTGCTTCAAAATTTAGCCAGACACCTTTGTCCAATTGTCAGTAGTAAGCAACACCACTTCGAGTTGGACAGTAACTAGTTGGTTCAAATAAAGCCAATCGCGTATTGAGAAATTCGTAGAAAACCAAAACTTTGACATTACTCAATTCATTTTTAATCATGGAAAAGTTATTGAATGCATACCGGGTTTTGATTCTGACTCAGCTTTGACATCGGGTGTCTCTGTAGCACCACTGATTCCTGACATACACACTACATCTTAAGTTCAATTCAGACACTAATGAAAACTTTCCAGCTAGCAAAGACTTCAAATTTTCTAAAATGTTCATAGAGAAAATTATACCTGAATTTAATTGTTCGCCCTTACAAGTGTTATATTGCTCCAAAGATTGCGTCTTCTCCACCTGACTCAAGGATAGATCAAAGTCACTGGCTACTATCTTATCATTAAAGACTTCATCACCATGGTCTAATATATCGGTGCCTTTCGTTCCCTCACCATCACTATCATCAACAATTTCATCACCGAATTCATCCAACAATTGTGTCTCCATATTCTCTAGGCAATCTAAATCATCCAACACCTGTGTTTCACCGTCTAAGTTCGACACTTGAGTTTCTCCACAAACATTAGGAAACTTGGTCTCGAATCCGTCTTCCATCGGAGCAATATTATCATCGAAACGAACTGTATTTTGAACATAGTTTAATTCTTCACCATCCTTGTTATCAGCATTGTCGCCTAATTTATTTTTCAAAAACACATTTAACACAAACAATCAGTTTTTCGCATAGAGTCAAATAATTTAAAGCAAAAACATCTGACACTAAATTAGATCAGGAAAAAAGTTGAAATTTTCATGAGAAGCTTAAAAAAGAAACACCAAAGATACAAGGAAACATACCCAAAAATGAGACTTGGGAATCAAATTCAAAGGGCTGAGTCTCGGGACGTGAAAAATCGGTGCCTGGGTTCACCCCAGAGGACTTAATGTCGCCAGCGTCGTTTCCAAGAGAGCCCATCTTTTTCTTTATGACTACTAACTCATCAGAGAGTACAAATCTACATAAATACGTAAAAAGATAAAAGAGGAAAAGGGGGATAGATATTAGGGTGTAACTGCTAAGGCGAAAAAGAGAAGTTAGGGAGGGAAATGGGGTGGGATTAGGGCTTCAAAATGGGAGCGAAAGAGAAAGAGGGAAAATTTTTTGGAGGGAAAATAAGTAGATGGAAATTTGACAGCTAAAAAATATGATTAATAGTTTGTTTAGGGTTGACCGCTGTAAAGAGAGTTAATATTCTCGTCTTGATTCTCTTACATTATCCTGTTCTACCTAGTGGTATGATTCTTGCCTGAGGTACGATAGGTCTCGAGTTCAATTCTTGAAATGTCATTTTAGTTATTCTTTTTCCTCCTTACGACCAGATTACATAATTTAAGTCTTTTATTTTAATTCATCCAATAATTTTAAATTTGTATAAAATTAAAAATAAAGATTCTAATTTATATATATATATATATATATAAATTCTACGATACTCGTCGAGTACCGCTAAACACCACTAACGATGAACAACATTAATTTAATTTATAAAAATTTAAAATTTAAAATAACTCAACATATAATTATCAGTTAGTTAAAAAATTTGATTAAAATAAAATATTTTTTGAATTAATCACTAATATCTGATCTATTGATCGACTAATCCAGATCGGGTACTGCAGAGGCGAGGGCGACCCTCCCGACCCATTTTGCTCTATTCGCAAAACGTTAAGATTCAAACCTCTGACCTTGCTTAAGAGACCTCATACTTCATCTCATTAGACCATTGTTGGTTAATTAAAATAAAATATTAATTATACTATTTTCTATATTTTTTGGATAAACTATACTAATTACCACCTAACTATAGCTCCTTTTCATTTTGGTCATCATTTTTGAATTTTACTCAATCAGGTCACCCAATAATTTAAAGGCATTCAATCAGGCCACTTGTCATTAACATTTAACAGAAGTATTAATGTAATTGTTAATAATATTGGTATAATTACACATTTGGTCATTGTTACATATATATTCTATTAATTTGGTCCTAATTTTAAGAAATTAAAATAAATTTAATCTTCGAATCAGATCGTGTCACTAATGTCAAATATCATGACATGTGTCGCCACCCGATTGGAGGAATTAATTTATTTTAATTTAAATATTCTTTTGTGTTTTCTTATTCAGTTCAAAGTTCTCACCGTCTTGAGTTTAATTTAATGGAACAATCCTAAGCATTTAAGTGTTTTTCTTATTCACTCACTAAAATGTGTATTTCAATTTTATAATTATTATTTTTCATGATTTTCATTTTATTCGTGTTTTAATTATTTTTGTGGACTTGTACTTTGAAAGTGAATACAAACTGTTGCAACGATTTTCGAACGAAGGCAAAGGAAAAGCTATAAAAAATCAGCGGTAATTTTATGATTCGAATTAAATTTGGAGTTAAAATAGTAATATAATTACTCCCTTGGAATAATAGTCGACAAACTCCACTCCTGATTGTAAAAAGTGAAACAAACTACAGTAATTATATTATTGTTTTATACTCCAAATTTAATTTGAATAATAAAATAATCATTGATTTTTTGCAATTTTTCCTTTGCTTTCGTTCGACAATTGTTACAACAAATTGTATTCACTTTTAAAGTACAAGTTTACAAAAATAATTAAAAACACGAATAAACTGAAAATCATGAAAAATAATAATTATAAAATTGAAATAGATATTAGAGAGTGAATGAGAAAGACACTTCGTTGTTTTGGATTGTTCAATTGAATTAAACTCAAGAGGGTGGGAATTTTGAAATGGATAAGAAAACACAAAAACATAATAATATTTAAATTAAAATAAATTAAATCCTCCAATTTGGTGGCGACCTGTGCCATGATATTTGGTATTAGTGACACGTGGAATTATCTTATTCGAAGATTAAATTTATTTTAATTTATTAAAATTAGGACTAAATTGATAGAATATATAAGTAACAGTGACCACATGTATAATTATATCAAATTTATTAATTGTCACATCAACTCTTCCGTTAAATGTTAACGACAAGTGGCCTGATTGAATGCACTTAAATAGTTACAACTCTTTATTCCATAGCAATTTTAAATATTTTAATTATATAGATAGAATTTCTAAACTAGACTATATTTTTATATTTTCTCAACAACACATATAGAGATAGGATTCAGTTACACTTTGTAAAATTAAAAAGTTTTACACTTACTTAAGATAGTTTGATGCGTTAAATTATAAGAATGAGATTAATAGTAGGAAATAATAAGATATTCAAAATGAGATAAAAAATTTTAAAACTTACATTCAAAATTTATTTGTTTTTTTATATAGATTACAATTTGGGAGAGAGGACGTTATTTTTAGTGTTTACTTTAATGTGCCAAAACAAAACTTGGACTATTTAATTTCAGGAGCTGTTGGCATTTAATTAGGGTATTTAAAATGTCACCGGCGTATATCATTAGACTAAACAAATGTATTTTAAATTATTTATTAAATTAAATGGATTTATTACAATATTTAAATTGTTTTAAGATTAGATGGATCGCCTTATTAATTATTGTTTCTCTTGGTTTTGGTTGGGAGGGATGGGTAGAAGAAATAAAAGATTGTCTTAAATTAGTTTGGTGAGTATACGATAGATAGTTGCTGAGCATAAAAGAATTACTCACCTGCATTATAAGTCTTCTCACTTGCATGTTTTTTTTTCCACGTACGTAACACACCAATGTTGTCTTCTTCTCCTTCTGCCTATCCCTATTGTCTTCTCTTCGGGCAAAGCCCCGTAATTTACGCCAATTTCACTTTTGCTGCAAATCTCCCGTTTTTCTCTGTTACATCAATGCTCCCCAAATTCATTCTTTCTTAATCTTTCATCACTGGATTTAATGTGAATTGAAGCCGAGACCTTGATTAAATTGAAACAATTCATTTTAATTAATCTAAATATCTAGATATAATTTCAAACAGTTACGACTGTATATTATTAAAAAAAACTATTTATGAGAATGCGTTGTGCGACTTCAATGATAAAAAATATTATTTTCCATAAAAATCAAAGTTTAAACAACTACATTTTAAGCAAACAAGATGTAGATAGTTATCGACATTACTTTTTAATTACCCTAAACATAATTAAGCACAGTAGATTGAGTTGAAACTGATTAGCCAAAATATAAGGGTTTTGCAAGATTCACGGGCTGTAAAGAAGAATCCATCTATCAGCTAACAAACATGTCCCAACAGAAACCTCATTCATCTTTCTATTTCCTTTTTTCTACACTGCCATTGCCAACCTGTAATTTCTCAACACTGACCCATGCACGTAGCATTCGGGTCCCACTTGAGACACCCTTTGTCTCCCCTTTTTAAAGGACTCCATCATGGTGTCTTTGTTGCGGAACGCCGACTGTCTGTAATTAGAGTTGTTGCTCGTAATAAGTGTGGACAAATTTGTGATGGTTTGACACAGTCTTCTGTCGAATGTTTTGAGGCGGGTTTTGCGGAACTATCTGCTTTACTCGCTGGTCTTAGAATGACTTGTGATATGAAATTACTTGATGTTCAGTTTGAAACTGATTCTTTGATGCTCGTCCATAAGATTACACGAACTACTACAAATATTTCCATCCTCGGGGTGTATGTTCAAGAGGCTCGTACTGTTTTTCAGGATCATCATCATTTTTGTATTTTGTATACTACTAGAGAATGTAATCAGGTTGCTCACGGATTAGCAAGCTGGGCTTTAAATTTGGGTGGTTCTTTATTTTTTGAGTCGGTTTGTCCTGACATAATTGCTTAAAATGTTAAAAACGATGTCATTAATCTTTGATTAATATATTTTGGGCACTCTTTTTCTCTTACTAGGTTTAGAATGGGATTTTAATGAGGTACATTAATTTTCATTTAAAAAAATAAAATAAAGGACTCCACCATCACTCCCTTTCCCTTTGCTTTTTTTATTTTCTCACTAGAAAAAAACTATATATTATATACATAAAACATTCGACCACTCTCCAATAAGTGTCACATTGATTTCTTCATCATTAGCAAAATGACCTCCTTTTGGTTCCCCATCATCATCATGTATTTCATTGCCTCATCACCATGGCCATCTTCTGCTTCATATTCTTCCGGTTCTCGCCTGAGTTCCGATACCCCGACCATCTCAGCTTCACCGGTTTCCATGTTGGATCCCCCGTTGTCCCCTTTCCAACCATTATCACCTGATATTGCTCCCTTATTGCCATCTCCTGGTGGACTGGTGCCAACAACCGGCACATCCATGCCCACCATCCCTTCCACCCAGAGTCCACCGAACCTCGACTCCGCTTTTCCACCCTTCGGAGCATTGCCGGCTTCCTCCTCGTCTCCGAGACTTTCTCCCCGGTCTTTGCACTTAGCAGCAACTTTTCCGGTTCTGGTAGTTGTACCCTATTGCTTAATGCAGCTTGTTATAGTACTGTGAATTTAATTTGTTGGTTATCAAACTTTGATCTTTTAATTTTGCTTATTTTCTTCATTTTTTTTCTTTTGGCTCAACTACATGATTATAATGTATCTAACTACCTGTTGTAATAAATCCGAGCGTTAAAGATTTATTGATTTTGTGTATCAAAAATTCTTTTGAATTCGCGATTAGATATATTACGATGGAAATGAAATTATCTGACCAGAAAGGATGGACCCACGTTATAGGCGAGAGGGATAATGAGTTAATGACCCCAAACTCTGATGGCTTAGTTACCTTTTAAATCATCGGTGGTTTTAAAACTTATTGCAATTAAGTCCTTACCTTCCCCTTTTTTTTTGTTGATGTAATTCGTTTTTAGAATACTGTCCGTTTTAAAATTGATAGAATTAAACTTTGACCCCAAATATGTCTTGTTTAATTACTTTTTAAGGCCTTTAAATTTTAAAATTAATGAAATTAAACCCTCAATCTCCTAAATTTTATGATTCAACTACTTT